CAGTGACTCACTCTTAAAGTTATAAAACTAGTTTGTGTACTATTATAATATCATTTTCACATACTCAAATATAGTATGCTTTTAATACACACCAAACATACTTAAACTTTATCAGTAACAGTTAAAAAACAGAAACGACATATAGGGTAAAAAGTGTAAAAAATTAGGACCATCTTTATTTCTGAGATAAAGATTTGAACATTTTTGTCTTTTTCTTGGCAAATTCTTCAATGACATCACCAAAAATAATTTCATTTGTCATTTGTTGCTTTATAAACAATAGATAGGCTAATATATATGCCATAGTTTAAGTTACTTGAAACCGAAAAGATCCTTAAACTGTGAGTACTGTCCTGATATTGAAACCACTTTTATTTTAATAGAGCCTATATAAGCTTATAGCCTACAGCAGAAACAAAAGTGCTACCCCCATAAAAGTGCTGCTTAGGATGGACACCTCCCCCTCTAGATACACTACTGGTTTCAACCCAAATACACAGAAGGCTAAAAGTTTAGGGTTTCTCTGGATTTTAAAGAATTGCCTAAAAATTGAAAGCTGAATGTCTTTTTCAAAATAAATTTACTAGCTCATTATGAGCCAGAGAGACTTTCTCTTTCTTAAGATTAATATTGTTGTTGCTGGCATAATTTAATAATAATTAAATTAAACCATTACTGCATAATTTAGCTCTTTTTGCTTAATCTACTTTGCTGGCCTATGATAATCTTGGACAGGTGGATTTTAAATTTTAGATAACTCCTCTCTAAAAAATTGGCCACCATTCATTAATGGGTTGAATAGTTTTAGCATCCTAGTTTCAGTCGGTTATGTACCATGCATGAAACATGCTTAGGCAATCATGTATCTTTCAATAGATGACTGACGAGGCAGATTTTTTCCTTCAGTAGGTAGCCATTTCTTTCTGCAGTAGACCAGTTACCATCCAAGGCTATAGAACCCAGTCTGCCTTACTATTTACCCATAGCTGGGGGGAGAAGAGGAGGATTCATACCTTTCCTAAGGGTATTAGCACATAAGTGAATGTAATGGATTCAACTGGAATTCGAACTCCAATTCCTCAATCTGAGCCACTGTTACGCCACCATACCTCATTCTAGCTTAGCAGGAGTTAATTAAACCAAAGAAAGCAAGAAACTGACTAATTATTAAATCCAGAGGGTGACCTCCAAATTTTTGTCCTACTGTGTATGTGTAGGGAGCTGATCAGGTGCTCAGCCAGGCAGTGACTGTATGACCACACCCAGTGATGATGTTGGTGGTGGTGATGATGGTGATGATCATGATGACCTTTTAATAAAGGTTGAAAATAGACTATAGTTTATTCATTTTGTTGCCTCTGGCTATAACTAAGTTAAGTTTGGATTCTTTTGCTTTGTTTCATATTGAATATTAAACAAGGCGGCAGGTGAGGACAAAAAATAGAATAAACAAAAAGGATAGATTTTCCCTTGACACCACTATGTTCCCTCTGTTGTGCTAGACAATTTTTCTCGCCAGAATCTATCTTAGATATTGTTATACTGGAACATACCTATTCTATTGTTAATAGACTCTCCCACATATAAGTAGTAGTAGTAGCAGTGGCCAAGGGGCTCAGAGAGTTGGTCGAGTCAGTCGATGTCAGACATTAAAGTATCAACCACCACAACTAGATTGCTGCATCATTAGCTATTATTTTGAGTTCCTAACGTTTTGTACGTCGAACCTTTTTTAGGACCAACTTAGTGAAATACAAGCCTCCACTGTGAAACTACTCTACAACAGATATTTATAAATGTTTCATTCATCCTTGCTTTGAATATCACTGCCACATCAGGTCTGGTGCTCCTGCTATATATTTAGAGATTATTGATAAAATCCAAAGAATTTGCAATGTTATTGATCCTGACCTGACATCTTAGCTTCAGTCACTTTCCCACAACTATAACATAGCTTCTCTTTTTCTACAAATACTTTCACAGTAATTCTTCTGATGAACTTTCCTCTATGTTACCTAGATTTTATGAAATTAAAAACAGTACAAGATTGGCAGCAAGTTTTCATCATTTTACAGTTGAAATGTCTAGATGTAACTGTAAGTTCTATGTTAACAGTTTCTTCTATTGCACTTCTCATGTATGGAACTCTCTTCTGGCTTCTTGCTTTCCAGTTAAGTTAGATCTTCAAAAGTTTATATGCAATGTCAATTGTTATCTTCTGTCTTCTTAATTCTTGTTCTTTTATTGTCTTCTCTCTTTAATAATGTTCTTTTTCATATTCTCTAGCAGTAACCCCTTTGTGTCTTAGTGGTTTTATTGCCTTGCTTAGATTGAAATGATTTAAAAAAAGAGCAAAAACAAGAAATGGTAGATAATATATATTAGAAGACTGTAAAATGTATCATTCAAAACATTGTGGAAACAATATCAGTAACAAAAATAATGAGTTCAACAATATAAATTAAGACTGGAATGTTAATGAGTTTTCTTAAAGTTATAAACAATATATATGTAATTAACTAATTAACAGATTAATAATCAAGACAATGTGATTAATTTATTTATTATTTCTATTTTCCCTCAGCTTATTTCAAAAGCATTTTGTACAAAGATGATGCAATAAGTTCATATAGTTGTTAGTAGAATTTTGATCTGAAATTTTCACTGTATAATATTTTGTAATTAATATTCAACACTGATATTAAGTGCTTTGACAAGGAAAGAGATTATGATAAAGAATAAATATTTATGTAAAATATATGTATTGTTTAATTATTTTTGTCTTATGGATTTATGGATGTACTTACATACAAAAGTGGGTCAATAACTTCAAAGCCTCACACAGTTGTTAGTAGAATTTTGATCTGAAATTTTCACTGTATAATATTCAGTCTACATTATTAATATGCAATGCTGATATCATACACTAACAAGGAAGGAGATTATGTTGAAAATAAAATATCTTTATATAAATAAATGCATTTTTTAATCATTAGCCTATGGAATAATAGAAATATCTACATACAAGGGTGATCAATAAGTCCATAACATCACACAGTTATCAGCAGAATTTTGATCTGAAATTTTCACTGTATAATATTTTGTGAGTAATATTTAACACTGATATCAAGTACATTGACAAAGAAGTAGATTATGATAAAAAATAAATGTTTATGCAAAATATATGTATTTTTTAATCATTAGGCTATGGACTTATTGATATACCTATATACAAGGGTAGAACAATAAGTTGATAGCCTCACACAGTTGTAAGCAACTGAAATTTTCATTTATAATATTCAATCTACATTATTAATATTCAACACTGATATCAAGTGCACTGACAAGGAAGAAGATTATGTTGAAAATAAAATATTTTTATGTAAAATAAATGCATTTTGTAATCATAAGCCTAAACTTATGGGTGTAATTACAGACATGCACGATCAATAAGTTCATAGCATCACAGAGTTATTAGCAGAATTTTGATCTGAGATTTCCACTGTATAATATTCAGTCTTTTTCTTCACTGTTTGTGGTCTTTCAAGACATTGGTGATCATGGCTCTCCACAACTTCTTTACCTTTGTAGCTCTTAGTAAGTTTTGTCTTATTTACTCTCCTTCTCACTCCCTGTTCTGTTAACTGTCGATACCAGCTTGTTACGTAGCTTACTTACTGTTTCCTTTTGCTCCTCTTGCTTTCAGTACATCTTGTGACTGTCAAATTCTCTGAACTGGAAAGGGTAGTAAGGGAATAAACATTGAGTAGATTTACAAAGGATAGGAAATTATGGAGAACCACGATTAGGAGATGGCATATAAAAGAATAAAGAAGATTCCAGCAGTCTTTAAATGATTTGATATAAACAGCAATGGTAAATAGTGTGATTTTACTCTTCTTGAATATTATATATTGTATCTATAATAATATAATTGATGCATCAAGAAATTGAAAAATCTAAAACAATTATAGATCTGAACTAAGTCATTAGTAAAGTTCTTAAGAAATAAATATTGATTAGTAAGTGAATGTTGTAATTAGAGCTCATTAGCCTGTAAAAAAAAAAAAAGAAACAAAATGAATTCAAATTACAGATCTTAATAGTTCTTTAAAAATCCTTATCTTATATTGGGCTAAAAATTGATAAATTTACCTCAGAATGGTCTGAGTTAATTACATATAAGGTTGGCCAGAAAGTCCTGACTCATTTAGAAAGCAGAAAGAAAACAAGAAAATTTTATGGAGCAACACCAACATTTATTCTTCCAAAAAAAGTCCATCATTCCTGATGACCTACTGCCATTCTCGTGATCTTGCAAAAGATCATGACTGCTTACAGAAGATTCAACTTTCAATGCTGCCACTAAAGCCT